ACTGACGATGACCCAAAAGCGAGAAATATTTATCCTGTGGTTGCCCTGCCTTTGCCAGAATACTACTACTTTGACATAAAAAAATATGTTACTGACACTTAATTAGTAACATTACAATTAGTAGCCTTGCGAAAACACAAAATCAGTTGGCTCGAAATCACAGGCATCAATCCAGGATGGGTACATCCTGAAGGAGAGATCGGTGTCCAATCAATCACTATTTAAAGACAAATGTTTGACAGGTGTAGCTAACCGTAATGACATGCAATAAGAAATAATATTCTTAATGGCTGATAATACAGCTAATTGCGAATTCGAAGTGTTAAATTTCGAAATTCGCCCGTCGCTGCGCCATTTTACCCACCTAGAATTAATTTAGTGCAGTCACAACAGATGTTTTCAATCAGCGCGCCATTACGCCTTTCATGCCATTAAACTGCTATCGTGTAGCTTGGGATATCAACGGCGGCATTATAGGGCATTATTAAAATTCGATTGGGATTTACAGTAAGTTAGTACTCGTGGTCTACTGACATTTGGTAATTACCGTTTTCAGAAGAGCAGTTGGCGAGCACACGTGAGCTTTCGGTAAATTCTCATCGGGGTCGATGGAAAAACTTACGGAAACTTAGTTTGATCCGGGGAAATCCACGGGAATAAAGGGGACGCTAAAAGTCAATAAGAGACGGCTCCAGGATGGAGGAGGGAGAGAGCTCGACCGAGGAAGAGTTCACCCTGTTGGCTTACAGGAGGTTGTTTTAAGTGCACGCAAGACCGGCCTCCTCACTTTGACAGCGGTCGCTTCTTCTATCATGAGCTGATGCTGACCCTTGGACTTGAACCATTTCGATGGAGGCCTTATACATCGCTTGGAAGAGTTCGTTGTGGTCAACACGATGTCCGAAATCAATCATTTGCGTCTGATAAACGCTGTTTAGGCTCCTGAATTAATTCTCAATCATACGCGGAGGTGTTCCCTTATTCTTTTTTATAAGTAAAAAATATGCGAAATCAATAAATCCTGCTCCACATGAGTAATTAAAATGAGTAGATGCACATTGTGGCCATCTGTGCTGGCGATATATTCTTACCTTTCCCCGCATATGGCTGGTTTGATTGAGAATAAAACCCGGACTGCCGCTGCTGGAAGGATGCGGACTTTACTTGTCGAATTCCCTTGAAAGGTGGCTATGAGAAATAGCGTCCTCTTTTCCACAGGTAAGTTTTACCCGTCGCGCGCAGCGGGACCTGGATTTTCTGAAGTCTTTCTCAAAACTGTCTGCCGAGCACATTCTTCTAGCCCTTAGCGTCAAACAGCGAACAAGATTGTGTTTGTGTTAGATAATTTCGAAAATGTAAACCAGGTTTCCTTTCGATAGACACCCTTTCTGGACGCTATCGTTAGGTTTTTGCTTTTGAAGGCCGTCTAAGAAAAGAAGCTAAGCAGCTGTTTTCACCTCCAGCGTTAACTGTTTTACTTTATTGGCAGCACTTAAGAGCGCACTTAAATCGGTGTCTGTTGCGGCTATGGCAAAGACGTCATCAACGTTGTGAACACACTTTCTTGAGTTATAAGTTACCTTAATGTGTATTCTTATATTCATCAACTGCGGCGTGAATACTTAATCAAAAAGTTCGCACTTTCCTAGTTTTTAAATCACGAACGATCTCCAGACCAATTTCCTTCATTTGATAATAGAAATGGAATTTTGACTCAGCGGACCCATTAGGTTCACTCCAGGTCCATAGAGTTTCTAATAAAGAGTAAATCTTTTAGTAGACGACTCTGTACTGTGCAAAATGGGAAACAAAGATCAGAATCTTAATACACGAGAACTAATTCACATTTTCCTAGAGATTAGACAAGCTTCAAGGTAGAAAGAAACGTTTTCGCAAATACAGTCGACTTTAATTATCTATATTAATCTACAAGGAATTTCCACTGCAAATGAAAAAAGTTATAACGGTTCTTACCTCGGTTACCTGTGTGCTCCACAATTGGTTTTCCCTGAAGACCAGGTTGCTTCCGACGTTCTCTTTGTCGTGGTATCGAGCAATCCCTTGTGGCAAGCCATTACCAAGTGGACAACGCAAGTTCACCGTCAGGTCCATCTCGCCCTTTCTCGCAAGACAAATATTAACTTTAACTTTGTTCGCCAGGCCTAGAAATAAGACCTCAGAGTACGTTTTCATGTTGCCCAGCGAACACTTCTTTGAACCTCTCTAGATGTAAGAAAGTGTAAATAAATAATGAGTATGTGTCAGTGGGAAAATCTGATAACTTTAAATATGCTGCACTAAACTGCGGGCAGTTGAACTATTTTAACAGTATTCTTGAAAGAAATTGTAAGTAGAATAGCAAGATATTATCGGACAGCCAGGTAACTTGGCTTGTAAGACTTAACTTAACTTAACGTTAAGACATTCATATTTCAACGCAAAGTTCTCTGTTCAATGTTTCATTTCCTAACTAGAAATCATCAGTTTACCAAATCGCTTCACTGGCTACAGCCTTAAACATTATATAAACATCGTCATAAAAAGTATTAATGTAATTGAGAATTTTGCTTTCGTCGTGCGTTATACATATTTCGTTGGTTCACCAATTCCTAAGATTACTTCATTATTATATCCTCGAAACCTTTAAATAAACACTAGCGCTTCTGATGACGCAGTTGCTTCCGAGCTTTGAACCAAATTTTGGCGACGCTAATTAAGTAAAAGCAAATGGGTTTGTTGTAAAGCACGCCCCAGTCAACTCGGAAGAAAGTAGATAAGTAGGCTGCATTTCATTGACCGGTGAACGATGAAACACCGTATATCAAACCGCGGTCTCTCAGCGAAACCTTTGTTACTTTATACTACCTCTATCGGCAATTTGTGACCCCGACGCAATATAAACACGCAACGCCCTGCTCTGGCGTCAGCACCTCTGCTATATCACAGGAACATCTGCCATTAGCAATAATAGATCGTCTAATCTTCCTGTCTTTGTCATTTCTGAGGCGATGGCATCCAGATTATGTGAGTGAATCATCCTTATGACACCACATTGGGCAGACGCATACCCTGTACTATCCTTTGCCTCTGATTTTGAGCCAAAGGAGCTGGCGCGCACATAGCACTTGCCGGGTAACAAGCATTAACTATGCAGTTAAAACTTAAAATGAAGCTTCTATGTCTACATACATTCACTCAGTTTTCCCCAAAAATATATGTAAAAGAGCCTCTTTGTATACACACATTATGGTAGCTAACTTCTACGTCAATGCGAATACTAGAAAATTAAAATTTTCTACCAGAATATTTCTGTTAATATTTACTACTTTAAGTTCTTCCTTCATAGAGCTTTGAGATTGTATACAAATTTTCAACCGTTTCAAAACAGATTTTAAACTTATAGGGCTAGCATGTGCGAATCTGTATAACAGTGACTTTATTATACCTTAAAATAAGAAAAAAAAATCACGTCGATACTTCTAATACCGCTGAGCATAGCAGTTCAAGATGACTTAGATTTTGTATATATGACTTAATTCTGAGTCTTTTCAATTGAAATTTCCATAAGCTCAATAAGCAACAAAAAGGCTTGCACTTCGCAGTCTTTAAATGTGTAAACGGCAAAAGGAGCTTATGTAATCCCACCCATATGCCCTAGTCCCAGCATCGTTTCCTACGAAAACGGTGGCTATAGGGTTCCGAGCGGTGGGGAAATAGGATAGGCAGAGGAAGAAATTATTTAAAGTAAGGGTTAAGTGAAAAAAATGTAATCAAAGTTGTTTCCGCTAGGAGTAAGTTGTTCCGCATGTAATTTCAAGGTCTGCGTGGCACTTTGCGCCACGGGTTATAGCAATCTAACTCCAGAACCGTAAGTTGGGACCTCAGGTAAGTTGAAGTACACGATCTACTAACCACCATTTTTATTTTTCGGAGATTTGAAGAAATCTGCAATTTGATACATTTTTTTCCCGTTACAAATTGAAAGCAGGCAAAAACAGCAGGAATTATTGATATCAACAAATTTCGTGACAGCGTATCAGCTGCTACTTGTCGCTGCATAAGAAGGATAACGAGGACACACAGAGCAGGTGTGAATTTCGCAAAATTAAGGGCAACAGCAAAGAACGTGGGTCAGTTTAAAAAATAATCGATAAAGGACAGGGCGGTAAGTCAAAATATGGGAAAAAGAGGGTGAGAGTAGTTAACGAAAAACACTTGGGAATTAAATGACCCATCACCAGGGCAATTGGAGGTTAACCACATGGTCAAGCTGCTTGCATAGGTCGGGTTTCTCCCACCGTATGTATGCAACTTCCAAATAGCGCAGGATTCGGTTTGTTCGGGCCTGATCTATGCAG